CCTTCCCCCCAAACCTGTTTGAATTCACCATAATTCAAACATGAGTTGGTCAGTATAGCAATGTCCACAAACTCCACACAAGTCTCATTTCTAGTTGCAGAGATTAAGTGTTAGTTAGTACCTGGTAGATAATATTTCATGCTTGCCCCTTAGCTGCCACCCACCTCACTGACTTTATTCTTCACCGAGGCAAAATTCATACCCATTTCAACATTGTGTAAAATTTAGGCCAATGAAAAATTTACAAGCTTCCTGGTTCCTTTTTATACTGTCCATCATTGGATCATTGTCATTTGTGGTTGAATCACCTTCAAGTCACCTGTCTTACCTTCCTATTTTTTTTTTAAAGGGGATCCTAAGATATGAGTCAGATATTTTGACAATATCTAGTGTTTTTTGGTTTCCCAAAGGCCACTGTGCTCCTAATATTATGAGGTTCAAAGCAAATAAGTTATCTAATCTGCTGAGAGTGGATACTTAGACCCAGAATAATCAATGTCGCTAACACTAAGATTACCATGTATCTTGAACAAAGAGCAGTTGTACATGTTGAGAAAGGATCTGAGCATCCAGCACAACTTGGGAAGAAAGCAGTTCCTAGCAATTTCCAATGACTTTCCCCACTGTGTCCCTACTTCCTAGCATTGTTTTATATGTTTAATTATAAAGATGTTTAAAGTAGCCCTCCCACAGGTTAACAATTGTATTTTAATGCCATTTAAGTTATTCATTCAGTGTTCACTTGATATTTGTATATTAGAGACTACTAAATGCTAGGAGTTCACACGTAAATAAAGATAGTTCCTGCAGTTAAAAAAGGTCACAATTCAAAGGGATAAAGTGAGATAAGTACAATGTCTACAGTATGTTGAGAAAAAATATAATTACAAATTAAGAAAATTTACATTTGATTGTTTATATCATGTTACATAAAAAAGCACAGCTAACCAAGCTGATTCTGCAGCATCCCCTTAACCTTTAATCCAATAGTACAGCATATCCCTGGAGGGAATGTTAATAAACATACCTCAAAATTCTATCAACATTCTGCCTAAAATGGATGATTTCTGAAGGAAATGTACAAAATTCACATGGATTGTAGAACTTTTGATGGGTTACTTTTTCAGAGTGTACAAGTGCCACAAAAGCATACAAAAAGYAGTAAATCAAAAGTTCAAACCCTATAGTTAATTTAGTTTAGTTGATACTTTAAACTTACCAAAACAAGAGTTGGTTCATCTAGACCTCTAAGACTCTTAAGTTACTGCCGAGTCCTCAAGAAAGCAGGATAAAGCAATTTCATTAATGGGTTCATTATGAAAGTTCATCTTCAGCCAGGTGTTCTGAAGCTGGAGGGGCATTTTCTGTATTGTAGTTCATGCTGCTTACCTTTCTGATCCACTTTTTACCATTCGAATTAATGTACATTACTATAGACTCAAGTAAAACATTGATTTTTTTTAAATTAGGAAGATAAAATATAAACAAAAACTCTGAATTTAAAAGATGTGCCAAAGTATTTAAGAATGTGTTATAAGACACACATAGTTAGCAATAAGACATGGCTATATGATTCCTACCTACTTGTATTAAAGAGTCCCCTAACTTTACTTTTAAATTATTCTCTTTATCAATGCTCTAGGGTAGTGATCATAGACAGAGGTAAGGAAGCAAGAATAGCGATTTTTGTGTGTTGCTAAGAATGTATGTTTTTTAAGTCACACACACTATCCCCTAATATAACTAGCACTTTCCCACGGAGAATTAACTTACTAATGGAAGAATGTCCATTTCTTGACTTATACTGACCATCACTGCTGTGTTGAAGATCCCTTCAACCACCCTCAATGATTTGCTGGAAGGACTCATAAAACTCAGAAAAAGAAATATCTCACAACTGTGATTTATTACAAAGAAAGGACACATATTAAATTAGCAAAGGTACATAGTGAAAAATCCAGGAAAGACCAAGGACAAGCTTCTAGTTGTCTTCTCCCAGTGAAGCTGGGAGCATTTACTTGTCTCTGCAGTGATGTGTGACATGTACACATTACTGATGACCAGGGAAATTCATTGGCACCTTGGTGTTAATGGTTTGTCATGGGGTCAGTCTCATAGGTATGGAACATCCATGTGCTTTCTTCACTCTTCAGTCTATCCAGAGGTCACATTGATAACAGCATGACTCACCTGTGGTCCTCACTCTAAATCATTGCTGACGTAAACTAGCTGGCAGGATTCCTCTGGCTTAGAGGTTATCTTTCAGGAGCTAGCTGGTCAAGAGCCAGAGTCTTTGGAAACTGCATTACAGCTTTAGGATAAGAAGGTGTAAGTCAGGGAATGATCATGTATGTGGACAGATTCCATTATAGTCTAAAAGCCTCTACAGTATTTCAACATTTTCTTAGGCTGTATTGAAATCTGTACATAGTCCAGCAGTGTTGGTAACCAGACAGAGGTTGTAAATGAGGTRGAGGTGGAGAGTGCCCAGTGATGGAATTGAGGGAGAATGGTAGGGAGGCTAATCGTTCCACACTTTCCTTACTACAGGCCCAGTATGAAGACTTGCTGGGAAGGAATTCCTGGCAACTGTGACTTGCAAGGACAAGAGAGAGGAGGGAAGAGAGGAAGTACAAAGCAAGTGGTCCTAGCAAGGAGGGAAATCATGTCTCTATCACCACTTTRCTGGGTAAAAGGGCATCTGCAATAAAATGCTATTTAAAATGAAGATGGTGTAAATTGCTGCACTTCTAACTGGGTTCAAGGAAACATCTTAAGTCACTTCTAAAATGTACCTTTCAAATATATGCTGCCCCATATTCTGAAAATAGATGTGAAACATGCTCCTAAAGCTGTAATTAGTTGTTGAAAATAGGTAAACCAAAAAATTGCAGTTTATCCTAGTGATATTGGTAGGAAATTTCCAACATTTAAAAAATTATTTCAAAGTGAAAAATGAAGCAAAAAACAAAACAAAAACACCTTTGCAATTCTTGATAAGGGCAATGAATCATATTGAGATCAGCTCTAAATCATTACCTTGCAGGCTTTGGGGGAAAAAAGCATAAAATTGGATTTACTAGTTCTGCCTTTTTCTGCTTTTAGTTTGTGATAAAGCTGCCCGTTAACACCAATCAATTCCACACAAAGAACTTGTCTGTAGTCAACAACCAGGCACAAAGTAATTCTTAATCTCAGCAAGCATGAATAGGCAAAAATGTCAAAGAAGAGAATTTTAGTGCCTAAAATAAGTGCAATGTAGCACAGAGGGATTAGTTCAATTATGTAGCAGAGTGGATGTGGGCATGGTTTGAATGATAAACAGAATTTTCACAACTATTGAGAATAAATGGCATTCTAGGTAACAAAGAGCTTTGATTGCATGCTAAGGAGTCAAGATGATGGTGATTCTCTATCACCAGAAGGCAGAAGGCAGCCCAAAGGATATGCAGGTGATGAGAATAAAGACTAGTGACCAGTAAATAAAGGGCTGGAGTGGTTCAAATGAAGCTAGTGCTTTAAAACATAAGCAGCAGAGATGGAGTTCTTAAAATGTAGACTGGGTGATTTATTGATCATACGAGAATGAAAGGGAGACCATAATGTATTTACTTTTTCAAAAATATATTTTTTATTTGTAGATGGACACAATACCTTTATTTTTATGTGGTGCCGAGGATCAACCCAGTGCCTCAAACATGCTAGGCAAGCACTCTACAACTGAGCTACAGCCCAGCCCCAGCCCCATAATATGTTTACTTTTAGTTCCAGATTCACCACCCTTAAGGAAGTACAGATAATATTGATCTTGTTCACGAAATTGCAGATTAGTGTTTCTGAAGAGCCTATTTTCCTTTGAAYTGTCCTCAAGTCAAAGCTAACTTATGACCAAAGAAAAAGAAAATACAGAACTGAAATAGTGGTAAGAACCTAAGTTCTTAAGAGTCTAGAGTATTAAGGAATATTTGCAAACCAGGAGCTTTTCAATTAAAAACTTTATTCCTTTTGAGTTCTGTATCAATARGACATCTGGTTGGGTTTCTTTTAATCTTGGTGAATTCACTTACACACTGGTGAGTTTTAAATTGAGGACACGTATTCAAAAAGAAAAAAAGGTAARTTGCAATGAATGAACACATAATACGCCTTAAACACAACTTTGAAACTCTGACATTGCATTTTTCTATAAACTATTTTGTTCACTCAAAAGATGCTAGAATCACCTACAGCCTCTTTGGGGTGAAAACTGGAGGTGTACAGCCTTTCTCTTCTTTCTCTACCTTTCTATTTTTCAGGACATCTAGAAGGTCGCAAGTTACATACGCCGTCACTTATCCCCACCCCAGGCTTCAGTTCCAGTTAATACAATTCGTCAGAAGAGGTGGAGGGCATGCGGGTTGGGCTACCCGGGTGCCCCGGGCACAGCGGAGTCGGTCMGCTAACTGGGCGGGTCCAGGCGCCTAAGAAACCAACAGCCGCCGGCACAACCTCGTGGGGCCGCCTGGCAGCCCCCACCTCGCACCTCCGCGACCTCTCCACCGCAGGCGCGCGCCAGGAGCCGGGGCGCGGGGAGAAGTAACACCGGATTCCGTCACCGCCGCGACTCGCCACCGGTGCTATGCACGCAGCTCAGGCCGAAGGGGGAAAGCCCCGGCGTCCACTCCAGCGGCCACTAGGCCCGCGGCGCCCGCAGATCGCGGGGGGCGAGGAGTACACACCCGCCACCTGCAAAAGTCCTCGGCACCGCAGACACTTCGCCCAGCCACCCTCGGAAAACCGACACCGGGCCTCGCTCTCCACCTCTTCGCCTGAACGCGCTTTCGGCAGTCACACGGCAGAGCGCATGCGCGCCTCAGCTTGCCAGGTCTCCAGCCACTGGCAAGAGAAGCGGCGACTCCGGATTTGAAGACAGACAGCCGGAAGTCGCTGCGCGTCCGCACTCCACTCTGCACCGACTGAAACTCGAGCTGGACAAGAGAGGTTCCGGGRCTGGTTGCGGCCAGAGGCGGAGGGATGGAGACCCGGCCTGAAGACTCGGGAATGACCGGCCGCCCGACGCTGGCCTCTTCCTGGGATATCGCGAACGGGGACCTGTCCCAGAGCCTCCTCCTCACCCGGGATGGCCTCGGCTTCCAGGACTTCGACTGGGAGGAGCTGCYGGCGCCGCCGGCTTCGGGGTGCGCCGTGCCTCGGGGGAGCCGGGTCGTGGCGCTCGGCGACAGCCACGCTCCGAGGGAGACGAGCGGGGGACGCGGGGCGGGAGACCTGGGAGCGCTCGCAGGCGCATCCGCCTCGCCCGCTTGGAAACGAGGGGCAGCTCCTGGCCGCCCGAACGGCCCAGAAGTCGCCTAGAGCCCCGCGTGTGCGGGCGGGGAAGGGCGCGCGTGCGTCTGGCTGCGCAGAGCCGGCGGGTGCTGGACCGGCTGCGGCCAGCAGCAGTCGGGGTCAGGGAGGGGCGCGGCCTGCGGGGCTGCGGGGCGGCGGCCCAGCCGCGTCCCTGGGCGGCGCGTCCCGAGGCCGCGGGGGTCCGGGGAGGGGCGCGGGCGGGTGCGAGCGCGACCGCGGAAACCGGGCGTCACCTGTGCCCCGACCTCCTCCTCAGCCAGCCTCTGGTGAGCCTGAGCGCCGCGCCGGGCCCCCGGGGCAGGACGCCGTGCTTCCTCGACCTGCGGTGCGACCCCGGGGCCGGGGAAGAGATCCTCGCGGTGGGCGTCCTGAGCTCGGCGAGGAACATGGAGGTGTACGTGGGCGAGGAGTACTGTGGCACCGGCCGGGGCCAGGGCGCCCGCACCGTCCCGGAGGGCAGGTCGGTGACCCCGCGCCGCGGCCCCTCGGCCCCTTTCCCGGGCTCGGGACGGTTCAGATAGCCTGACGTCGTGCCAGTCACCCGGGGAGGGAACCTAAAAGTGCACCGGTGGCAGAGACGGGGTCGCCTTGCCGCCTCTTCCAGGCAGCGCAGATCAGCCCAGTTGTTTTCATACCTGGAAACTTGGGGCTGGTTAGTGGAAGTGAATGGTGGGTCACAGCTGGTTAGTGGAAGAGTTTTGTTAGGAGAAGCCCTGACAAGTGCTCCTTGTCTCTCTCCTTCGCTCACAGGGTTGGCTTCCAGAGTTTCCCCCAAATTAATGACTCAGTCAGTCTGGAACACTGAGCTCATCTTCTAGGAAGCCCCTTACTAAGGGTGTGGGGATCTAAGACTGCCACCGCCGCCTAGTTGTTAACCGGTTATAAACGTGATCATTTGGGCGCCCCCACCCCCACCCCGTTTCCCCCCCTTACAAAGATTCTGCCGCATCTTTTTTAATGTAACCGAAATTTAGAGCTTTCCTATGTCCAGTGCAAGTTGAAAACAATAGGTGTGTTCACTGAACTTTACAATATGGTCTGTGCTCCATGACTGTGTTATCTCCTTCAGTTCTCTTGGCTAGTCTGAGAGGGCCCTGTGGTCCTTAAGGCAGTGCAATGCATTCGGGAGCCCCAGCTCCTTGTGCCTCACCACGAAAACAGTCCCAGGAAGGAGTATTGTCCTAGAAACGTTTATTTTTAATCATAACTGTTAATCATAACTAAAAAAATATTTTTTGTTTTTAGTGAACAGGAAAATGTTATTTTCTACAAAAAACATCTAAAATTGGAAACTTCCACATATGCTTGTAAAATAAAGGTAAGCCATCATCAGATTTTAACTAATTTAAATTTTCATCAAATTTGATTTTGTTCTATATATAATTAATTTTCTTTCCTTGAATACAACTAATCCTATATTGTCCCTAGGTTTATTAAGACATAGTAAACATATAAAAGGTGATTACTTTCCTAAAAAATCATCAATCCTCTTGAAGATTTAATTCTTTTAGTCTATCACCAGTTATGGAAATATATTTTGTTAATAAGAGCTATATTTTGAGGTTTTGGGAAATTTATCTAAAACATTTTTTAATCTTTCTGTAAAACTGTGTTGCCAAAAAATTACAAACAAAACTTTGGTCCTATGAATTAAACAAGAAGGTAGTGAAAGGAGTTTCAGACAAGAGAACCAAGAAGTTAAAGGGTTTTGGACTGTTGGCTGCAGCATGAAGATTGTTAAGGTTTGCATTAGTGGTGATGTCAAAGTCTAGGAATCATGAGAAATACAGAGCCAGAATATTAACTCAGCTTTGTTGCTGTCACACTAGTCTGAGCAAGCTGCTTCGCTTGTTTGGACGTATTTCGGGAGTAAAATTAGAGAACTGAAGAAAGAAAATTCTTGGGTTCTTTTTGACTCTGAAAAATCTATACTTATTATCATCACTTATGGGAAATTGTGAGACTTAGTTTTAGAATAAGGTAAAATTAGTGATTTTTCTTTCATTGAAGAACAAAGTAAATGTTCTTCAATCACAGAACTGATTAAAGTGATTCATTCATTCTGTGAATATTTGATGCCAGATACTATATGAGGCATTTAGGAATTACCAGTAGTAAAATAAATTGAAATACTGCCCTCATGTTGCTTATATTTTACTGGGGCAAGACTGGTAATAAGCATGATCAATGAGTGAAACAGATCCTATATTTGATGTTGAGAAAGTGTTTGGGTATTACAAAGCAGAAGGGGGAGAACAGGTTGGGATGTAAGATGAATGTAATGGGTGTTTCCCTGATTGTTGAAGACTGTCACGTATTTGGTTACACACTTAAAAGAGTTTTTAGAGCATAGGTGTACATTTACCTATTGATAACGTGGGTCTGTGTGTGTCACTCTGGTGAACATTTTTTGTAACTGTTGTATAGAAACGAAGGGTTGGTTCATTCATGGAACCCCTGGGTTTCATACATATATGAAAGTGTTCTGGGACAACAGCATATGGAAAGTTAAGATAAAAATAAAGTGTTCCTGATACAGACTTTTGAGCACTTCCTCAGGGATAGATACTGGATATTTTGACACATAAGCCATCTCTCATTTTACTGACTTGATTTTAGTTTTACCCTGTGCGAGCATTTGCCCAGGGTCACCCAGGCTGTTGAGCAGCAGAGTCATAATTTAAACCCAGATGTGCCTGGTCCAAATCTCTTCCCTTTCATTTTACTACTCTGTTTTATGGACCACACATGGAGTACAGCTCAGGGGTAGAGCCCTTGCCCCACATGCTTGAAGCCCTGGGTTCCATGCCCAACACTGCAAAAAAAGAGAAAAACTACAGGGATAGAACCAGAGGATTTAGACTGTAAGCTCTGATTTTTAACATTTCCTTACAGTTCTAAATCCTGAAAGACTGAATTGTGTCTATAATTTCAGTAAGTACTGCTTGGGCCTCTAGACAGTTACATTTTGTATTAAATAATATTATACCAAACTGTGGCCTGTTAAGATCTCAGACTGTTTATTTTTAATGCCTTAAGTTAAGTAAAACTATATTTAATCTACTCAGACTTATTTTCTGAATATTAGTTTGAGAAGGATTTCTTGATTTAAATAGTTGATCTGAGCCTTATGTTAAAATAGAAATTTTTCTATCTATGACTGTTCTAAAGATAACTTAAAAACATGCTTGAGATTAAAACTGTTAGATCCTTGAATATTTCACTCTTGATTTGGTAATACTAGGAAGTGACTTTAAATTATTGGTTTTAATACCTATATTTCCTGGACTTTTTTATTTCATAATAGTTGCTGTCCTTTGGTGAAAAACAGTGTGTGTTCATCAGTAAGGTTGTGGTACACATGAAACCAGTTTCAGGAAATTCTTCACCAAGCTCTCCTGCTCTAGGATCAAGGATAGACCTTGACAAGGTCCAAACCATAATGGAGTCCATGGGATCAAAGTTATCACCTGGAGCTCAGCAGCTAATGAACATGGTTAGGTTTCAACAGCAGGTAAGTAGAAATGTTTTTCTTTCCACATAGCAGTAAAAAAATCATTTCAAAATGATGGCCTTTGATGAGGAAATGCAGTATTTTTTTTTTTAAAGCGTTTTTCTGTGATACTAGGGATTGAACCCAGGGACTTGGGCATACTAGGCAAGCACTCTAGTGCTGGACTACCTCCCCGGCTCTTCTTATTGTATTTTAGATGGGGTTTTGCTTAGTTGTTTAGGCTGTACTTGAACTTGCAATCTTTCTGTCTCAGCCTCCAAAATAGCTGGGATTACAGGTATGCACCACTGCACCCAGCTAAATTTTTAATTTTTATTATTGATTTAACTGTCATCTGTTCATAGTTTGCAAAAGGCATATTTTGTAGACTTACCCTCATATAAAAAGTTTTGACTGGACAGCTTCACAATTTTTCATTAATTCATTCACCCATCATTCAGCAAGTAGCAACTTTGATGAATTATGGGCTGATTTGAGCACTCTCTAGGATGCAAAAATGATCAATTGGTGTATAGCCTGTTTTTAAGGGTTTTTGCAGGCTAGATCATATGAGTGGTCTCATACAGAAATAAATTTTCTCTGCTGACTGAGTAAAGCTCCTTTGAGCTAAAAGAATGTTGTCTAATGTTAAAATATTAGAAATATAACCCATCTTATTCCAGGAATATTTTAAGACTTATTCAAAACTTGGAATAGAACAAGAAAAAATGACAATAGGCTAGCATTTCTCTATATAGAGCCTTTTCC